TTATATAATAGTACACAATGCAATAACACATTGATTTACAAGTTTTAAATTAATATCTCTTTTTAAATCTGTTTACAAATTATTATTGAATTGCAGCATAACTGATACCGATTCCGTAATGATATGAATAAGGATTTTATTAACTTTATTTCCTCAATTTTTCCTTGAGCGTCATTATTATAATAAATAAATTTTTATTTAAAAAATCCATTAAAAAATGTAGAAATAAAATGAATGATCATGAAAAAAATTTACTCTCCTTTGTCAATGTGATTTTTAAATGAAATGTAAAAATTAATGCAATAAAAGATTAGATGACCATTGTTAAATTCGTCGTCGATATATTATAAAAAAATATATTATAAAAAAAAAAACGAAACAGAATGCGTAAGTATCTTAACCTCAACTGCTGCTCCTGTCGAACATCGGTCTCGAGGGCGTGGAAATCGATCGATAACAGGGCGATAATAGAATTGACAGACTCAATACCAGATAATATCGTCAGGACTTGCTTTCTACCTTCCACGCAATCCTTCGTTATGTCCAATGGTGAGATGAGGCTCATCCTAACCAAACACGGGAGAATAGGCCTAATTTCTTTGTGCGAGCACAATGATAACTCTTTGATATCAACATTCTGTATCGCCGTAAATACTCGCGGCGATACGCGCGTGTTTTCATACATTGCCTCCGCCTTTCTCTTAATTCTTTTGCGGACTGATCCGGACTGGCCTCAAATAGAAGAATAAACAAAATCATACGGCGCCAGTATCATCATCATAACAGCCTTCATACCAGAGGTCTGTTTTCTGTGAATGAATTAGTGTACACTTTTGGAACTTGAAGCAAGATAACATATTGTACATAACAGATACATTTGATATTTGAAAGTTGAAAGTGAGAAAGAAAGTGCTAGTGCAGTCTAGTGCAGAAACAGAAAACAGAGTATGCTCACAGGGTATGCTCTTGCGCATATTTCCGAAAGTGCCAATCAGGGACTTTGTCCAAGTTACGTCACATTGAGCGGCAAATTTGAACAACGACTCTATTGTCCGTAGTCAGACCTTGTATTTAAGGCTTCCTTAAATTTATCTTTAGATGCTCAGCAGCCAATGAAAAAATTCATAAAGTATCTAAAGATAAATTTAAGGAAGCCTTAGATATAAGGCTGACTATGAATATGAGTATATAACTCACTTATAGCATATTCAACACGAGCGGTTTGCACCAATCTAGGTTGGATTAATGACGTTGTATATTCTCTTATTGGTAAAACATGTAACATTAATCAGTAGTAAAACATTATCCAACCCAAATGAGAGCAAATCCGCTTGGGTCAAAAACGTTATTATAAAAGGCTATTATAATTATATATTTTGAATAAATATATTATTTAAATTATTACATAAAAAAATTTTTTAATATTAATTTAATTATTATTTAAATTATTTCAGGGAAACAGTCAAAAAATTTATGTTATTAAATTCGTAATCAATTTGTTCTGACTCTACATGTACGACATAGCTTAAACAAAAGTGGGAATATGCAGTGGTCTGACACAATACAAGAGTATATCCTTATATTTATATCAATTTAATAATAAAAAACTATCGATGACTGTTGTTATAATGACTTGTTCTGCTTGGATAGTCTTAAAAAATGCGATTTTCTTATTAATTATTTATATTTGCGTTACTAATTTATGTACTGCGAAGAGGACTCCGAAACGAGGGTCGAAAGTCAAAATGTATTGAGACTTTTATTTAATAAAGTTTTGATTATTTCACATATTAATATCCAATATTAGCTCATATATAGGCATTATATATATTATTAGATTTAATTTCTTGAGCCTGTGATTATCTGCACTTATTCTTTTACGTAAAATATTGCGAATGAGTATAATTAAATTGTACTTTATATAATTTTATATTTTATCAAATTTAAAAAAAAATGTAATAAAATATATTGTATCAAAAATAATTAATAAAATAATAGAAAAGAGGTCAATCCATAGCAGCAGAATTCATTGGCGAAACGTTAATTAAACATTGACATACATTGAGGATATGTTGACCAATATTGCGCTGATGAATTGTGCTGTTAAGGATTATAATCGGCGGGGATAATGGAGGTCCTCTACGAGATTGATTTTTTATTTATTTGAAAATTCTATTTCAAATTGAAAATAATTCAGGTATTAACCATATCATACGCACGCACGCACGCACGCACGGAAGTGTGATGTATGTTCGTGAGATAGAAAATGAATTTATAGAAAACGACACAAACTATTAGAAATTCTGTTCTCAATTGGTCTCTATCAATTATTTTTTCCAACAACATATTTAAAAAAATAAGACTTCAGAGAAAGACTTTTTTATTACAACTTGTAGCTGTATTCAGAAAAAAATCTCCGAATTTATACATGACAGCATAATATAAATTGAATATATTATTTATTGAATATCTTATTTTTAAAATATATATGTAATTTTTCAATCTTGAAGATACACAACGCCCAATTGTCTACGCAACTCATCCTCCAATTTCGCCAGCAATAAAGATGTGTCGTGCGATACTTTTGGACTTTCTATCAAACCTGTGAAATTAAACATAATAATTAAACATAAAATATTCAATATTATAATTATCGATTTTGTGTACAAAAATTAATTTTGTTATTATAAAAACATTCCCCGATAAGAACAGCATTTATTAAATTATATGATAAAATGTTGCATAAATTCAGTAATCTATAATTACATGACGATATACTAATAAAAATAAATGCAAAAACTTGATCTTTTTTAAAATATTAATAACTGTTTGCTTAATTAATTTCGGCATTATTTAGAAATTTCTGACAAAGCTGTTGCGTTATGGCGCATCATCTTAGCGCAATTATTGCAAAATTATAGTTAATTCAAGATGCCATAATTGTGCAATATTTTCACAATCTGTCTCTTAAGATTATTAAAGTCTCTTGAGATTATTAAATTCATAAAAGATGAGAGCCTCGATCGGCGGATTAGAGCACTGACAGTTTTACCTTTCAAAATGCAGTTACGAGCTTCGACAGCTTCGTAGGAAAGTCCGGCGGAATTTATGAAGTTAACCTCGTGCTTTAATTTCGGTAGCGACGCCTGTACAGTGCCGCTCGGCAATTCCACCTTCGTCGGACACCAAAAATCAGGCACTTTTATCATACCTTTGGTACCACAAATGTACGTCTCATTTGGCAATTCAACCAGCGCATTTGTCATGATTGTTGCGGTGCGATTCCCTTTGTAGGTCAAAGTAGCCGACATGCACATATCGACATCGTTCTCATTCAAAATTCCAGCTGCCTTAATACTCTCCGGCATTTCGTTATTATATATCAAACAGGCAAATTGCAAACAGTAAATGCCAAGATCAAGAATTGATCCGCCGCCTAACTGTTTCAAGCTGTAAATTGATTGATTGATTAATTAATTGCTTTGCCTCTTTTAGACGCTAAAAGAGTTAATAAACATTACGTTATCCGATCCACATCAGGCATTTGAAAACCGAAGGAAACGATCACTTGATGAATATCGCCTATGTTACCAGATGCGATTTCCTTTCTAACAGTATCATACATGGGAAAACAGCGGCTCCATATAGCTTCCATTAGGAACAGATTTTTACTCTTTGCGTAATTAATCAATTCAGTAGTCTGTTTCAGATTCATCGTCAATGGCTTTTCACACAGGACATGCTTGCCATGCTTCAGCATAAGCATCGCAATGTCAAAGTGTTGAGGGTGAATCGCTCCGATATATACGATGTCTTGAAACACATACACGAAATATAACAAATATGAGTATATCAAATTTAATTTAAAACAATTTTTATGGAGACATACTATTTTTGAGTATTACTTTTTTTATATATATATTTTGTGTGTGTGTGTGTGTGTGTGTGTGTGTGTGTGTGTGTGTGTGTGTGTGTTTTTTTTTAAAGTTGAATCTATATATATTTTTTAAAATTTATATATAATTATATATCTAAGTTTAAAGTTTTTTTTTTCAATAATCTTCATAAATTTAAAATATAGAAAAATTTTGTTTAATTAAAAGAAACATTATGAGAATTTTTTTTACAAGATTAAAATTTAAAAATATCTTAAGATTTAAATATAAAAAAATATCTTAAGTTCATTCTATAATTTCCAATAAAAACCAAAAAAATTTAGCATATTTTTCAACAAATCCTATTTAAAATATGAAAAATTCTAAAAAATATTATATGATGAAATTTTTTTTCATTATGATATCACAATGAAATTTTAATATGATTGCAAATTAAATTAAAATTATTAATAACAATTCGCAGTTATCATGTACCGATGTCCTTGTTCAATCCTAGTTTCTCATAATCGTCATAAACCGTCTTAATTTCGTGCAACTTTGCAAAATCTTTCGCACGTGACAATTGTCGCGCTGCAACGGCGATGATATCATGCTCATCAGCTGGTAAAGATTGCAGTGCCGTTACAAAATCATGCGAAATCTTTCCTGCACTAGCAATGCCCCATCGTAAAGTCATCATCTAAATTTTTCGAAAAAGAAGTTTTATCAGTTTAACATTGACCTAGATCTAGTGTAATACGGATACTAATTATAGTAACTTTCTATTGAATTTTGTCTTAATTTCGGCGATACGTGTAATATATATATATATATATAATGTACGTGTATTTAATTATAATCATTATTTTGATGTAAAGAGATCGGATAGACATCTATTAGACGTCGAGGTATCTATATATACAAAAATCTAAAATTTAAAAATATTAATTCTAGATGCCATGATTTTGTATTATTTTTTTTTATTATTGTGTTATATTAGACATGCAAAAACCTAATATTTACACAAATACACAGCAAATTTTTATTTATGAAATCTTTTGAGCTGCAAGCAGATCGCAATATTTAGAAAATTAGCAAGCAAGATCGCGATATTTAGAAAATTAGCGCTCAAAAGTTTATTCGAAAGCTTTTTTTTCTCTGCCTACAGTGAATAAATATACTTATTAATTTTAACACAAGGATAAATTAATTAAATATCCCGATAAAAAATTTTTCATACGTGAATATGGGTGCATTTAGCAGATTTAACTGAGCCCATATTCTGTATTGTTAAGTAGTGACAACCAATAAGAATTGCGCTTCTTTCCTAAGTTAGTCCTTGCCATTGGCTATCGTCAGTTATCGATACCAACTGTCGGTAAACGTGCAACTTTTGCATATAAAATATCATTCCGCAGCTTTTTCACCATAATATATCTTCGCATAAAATATCTTCGCAATGACAGCGACAACTGTCGGTAGGCATATAAAACAATTACAGAATATAGGCTGTGTTCAGAATCATTGTCCAGATGCATCCAGATGTAGTTTTATCTTTATTGTTCACGAATATTAAACAAAGATAAAAGAACATCTGGATGCACTTAGATGATAATTCTGAAGGCAACTCTGTTGTGCAACTGTTTTATGCTTCACTTTGATTTCTAATCGGATGAGGTCGTGATACTTTCGGGTCAAACATGAGTTAACCCAGTGCACTCGAAAACGCTAAAAATATGTTGAGTCACAATCAATTCCAAAACAAAATCGTCCAATGTGCCAATATTTAAAAGACATCATGACCCGTATTCAAAACGCGTTTACAACAATGTTAGTGCGCTAACATATTATACTTTATGTTATGCATGTTATAGAATTTCAAAGATAAAAGCGTGTTCTGAATACGGATTTACATATGTCATAAACAGCTCACTTATAGCTTATAATATAACGTAAAATCGCTTCTATATTTTGAAATCAATATTCATTGACGCTTCATATTCATTGACTATCGCAACAAACTCACAATCGGCAACTAATGTAGAACCGGTTTAATAGAAACATTTGACTTATCAAAAATGAAAACGGTACATAGATCGATTTTTGAAGATCGAATCAGCAAGAAGCAACTATAAACTCTAACTACATATTTATGCTATCAACATTATTAATTCAAAATGCAATCGAATATAAAAGAATTAGCACTCACGTTGCAGAAACGAAGTAATCGTCGAAGTAAACCACGACGTCTTGAAGTATACTAACCTGTTTCGCAAGCAAACGCTACTTACGTCGAGATAATCTTGTTCAGCGACTTTCAAGCAACCTTGTAATGCGACATGCACACAGAGATAAAGAATTTTTTTATTATGCTATATCTTTCCGCGAATTATTTTTGTAAGTTTTAATTATTTTCAAACTTGATAATGCGATCAGTCTTATTACAATCGTGTGAAGCATGTAAAATTTTACAGATAATCATTTATATATTAAGGCCCGTATTCAGAACGCCCGTAAGGCGCGTTTTTATCGATAAAACATGCAGAAATTCTATATGCGTAACATAAATTATAGCATGTTAGCGCACTACGTCACTGTAAGCGCATTCTGAATATGCCTATCTCTCTGTCTGCATCATGATTTTTTAAGGAATATCATCAGCATCATTTTTTAAGGAATAGTCAATTTCAACAGTTAAAGTTTTCTTCTATTTTGCTATAAAAAAAATACATAATATTTAAAACATCTAGGTTAAAACATAAAGTTTAAAACATCTAGAATACAATGTAGAGATATAAAATAATAAAAAAAGTATAACTATTTTTATATAATATACTTTTATATAATATACTGTTTTTTTTTTTTTTTTCGAAAATCTGTTAACGATGCTTTTATGCCACTAATCACATATAATACATCAGGAATTTTTTATTTTTTTAAATCTAGTTTAAATAAAATGTGACTAAGTGAATATTCCTGCAATCCTTAATCAATACAAATATCTATTAAATATAAAAAATAATTTAAGTTGCATATTTGGTTGTAAACATAGTTATATCTCTTAAAGGAAGTATTTTACATAAAGCTCGCCCACGTAACAATCCATGAGGTACTGGTCCATATATTCGCGAATCTGTAGAATTATTTCTGTTGTCACCTTCCAGCCAAACGTGTCCATAAGGTATCTGTAAGAATAAATAATTTATCAGTACATTTATCAATATGTTTTTCTCTAATTCATGCAGAACTATTAACCAAAAGAACAAGATTTATGCAAAGTAATTCAGAGTAAACATTATCCAAAAACATTATCAAAACCTGTCTCAATAACTTAAAATTTACCGTAGTTATGATAAAGCCATTCCTTATTTTGTCGCCAGGCAGGCCTATGATTCGCTTGCATATATTCTGCTCCGGATTGTTGGGACATTTAGATATGACAATGTCTCCCTTCTCAAGCCTTTGTAATCTAACTGATATTCGTTCCAGAAGTAAGACGTCATTAGTGTACAAAGTGGGTTCCATGGATGGACCACTACACTATAATTATATCAGCAATAATTATGTTGTCAAAATAAAAGGCATCAGATCTGATAATGACAAATGAGAAAAAATGCGTAATCGTGTCCTTACCACGACAATATCACCTACATACTCGTATATGCAATATGTCACACATGCACATTGCACGAACCCACGAATAACCTTAACTATAAATTTGTTCAGCATTATGACAAAGAATCGACGAGAAGAGAGATCATTTCTTCTCGTCCGAATCTACCAGAATCACATATGTACATAACGTTCGTACTAGAACGCGTAATTCGCTCCGTTCGTTTACTCGCGTATAGGTATATACATAATATGCACGGTAATTGTTTAGAACACCCCCTTCCACTTCGATTTTGATGAAATTGAATTCATTCGACGCGTTTTTGAGAAACGAAAAAATCTGGCAGAAAAAAAAGTGTCGTTTTGCTCCGTGAACCGAGATATTAAGTTAAATTTGATGATTATTGAGGTTAGGATATCCATGTTAGATCTGTTTTTTATTGCTACACTTTCTCAACTAGTACACACAGAGCAATAAGTTGAAGTAAAACAATATACGTTTGTTTTACTTTAACTTATTGCACCGGTTCAGAGTGCAACAATAAAAAATAGATCTAATACCCGATATTAGAATATAAAGCCGGAAACACAATGAAAAAGCACAGGCAATAGGAACAAAATCTTTATTCTCGAAAAGAAAAAGTATATATGAAAAATTAGGGAAGTACTATACGTGACTATAATCTTTCGTATATATTTTGACTAATCACAGTCGAGTATTTCTCTTTCATTCGACGAAACGAAAGAAATATTCGAAGGTGATTGGTCAATTTTTACAGGTTACGGTATACGGTTGTGACCAATATAAACGCTCCCTAATGCTGAATTCACACTGAATCCGACGTGCATCGTACGACACTATGCAACCAATCAAAAAACAGGATTTTGCTTTGTATCATCAATACAAAATAAAATTCTGCTTTCTGATTGATTACAGATCGTCGTACGATGCATGTCGATCCAATATGAATCCAGCATAAGGAATAATGATTCCAACTTATTAGAAATCGTGTATTTCGATATATGCGATTTCTGATAGGTTGAAATCTTTCTTATTCTTTCTATTGTGGCTACACTAACAACGTATATACGTAAACTAAGCTTTTCCCATGCTTTTCAGTGGTAGGAGTTAAAGCCGGAAATTGACAGTTTATATGGCGTTTTAGGACCCGTACTATTTCACTCTAAGTTTGTTCGCGTCGCAAGCTCTAACATGCTTTTACCACAGCTTCTACTCACTCTAGGTTTGTTCGCGTCCCATATTCCAGCTTGCTCCAATGTGCTCCTGCTATAGCTCCTATTCACTTCAACAAGTTAAAGTGAATAAATGTTATGATAGGAGCATTTTAGAGCATGTTAGAGCATACGACGTGAACAAAATCTTCTTTCGCACTACTCTCATTAAAATAAAAAGAGATACACGGGTCCTAAAACCACATGATGAACTATCAATTTCCGGCTTCAAGCTACAGTCACAATGTTTAGTCTATGCATATATGTCGTTGGATTACATCTTTAGATTACCAATCAGAAATTTGAACATCAATGTTGAGTTTCTTCGGGAGTTTTCCAACAAGAGACACATGCTGGATTCACGCAATCCTATTTTTCAAATTGATAGAGTGTCGTGCATCATACGATGCATAGAGCTAAAAGAAATTGGCCAATGCCGACTCGATTCGCGATTGGCTCTGCCACGTGTGAAATCGTATGTGTGTGAGAGAGAGAAAGAGAGAGAGAGAGACAGAGAAGCAAATATGAGAAAAAGAGAAGCGACGTCAGATTGTTGTCAAATTCTTATCAAGAATTAAAATAGTAAAAAATAAAATATAATAATATTCTTACTTCCTGTTCAGGATGTTTAATAAACACATCATAGAATATATATTAATATTTATACTTTACATAAATTATATGAAAATTGTGTTTATAACGTCTGTTTTTATATGAACATTTTTCTTTTTATAGTTTATTTACATTATTAGTTATTATTTTTATAGCTATAAGCTACAATTTTTAAATAATAATAAAAATCTCAATGTTTTTGTATAAAAACTTTAGTAAAAAAATAACTAGTTCAAAATAACTCATGCAAAGTTTATTTATTGCGATTCACCGATTAATTACAAAGATTTAAAACAAATGAATATTTTGTTTATTTACTGAATTAATATTTGCATCGCAATATATATAACTTTACATAAGTAATTTTAAATACATAAAGTACTTGTATTAAAAAGTCAAAAAAAATTTTGGTCATTTATTTTATAAATACATTTCCATACATTTGGAGCACAGATTACAAAATATTACTTTTTATTTTGAAAAACTTATTTATGATCTAAGTGATAAATCACTACAAAAAATTTATCATATTACTTTTAAATATGATTTTAAATATGATTCAAAATCATTTATAATTTATAATTTATGTATTACGTTGAAAGATTTATCGCACATTCTTTAGCGAATTCTTGCGAAAGAATCGGAAAGAATGTGAATTCTCGTGAAAAGCACTCTGCGAAGTGTTGTCGCAAAATGCGAATATTGCGATGGGCGCATTTGCACAGTACGCTTGCGCGAATCGGAGCAATCGGAGCGCGGTCCGTCCCGACCGCCGTCCGGCTAGAACGGTGCGACTGCGATATATATCACGAGAATCACCCCTTTAATCGGCGCGGTAATCGGGCGCCGTCGGCGAATCTCGGGTTTACGCTCGGTTCCGTCGTGCTCCGCGGTCGTGGAGTCGTGGTACGTGTATGAAAATCTCGTTTAGTTTGATATCTTTGGCAGGTTACGATTGACTGATCGAAAGATCGCCCGCCAAGTCCGCCGATCAACTTGCCGACCGACCCGACCATCTGCGAAGAGCGAATATCACGGTGTACGATATCGCGACAAGTGCCGAGAGCCCCGGATAGACTACTGTGGCACGAGGGAGGAGGCCGGACAACGCGCGCGCGCGCGCGCGCGAGAGCGATACAGGGAGTGACACGCGACGTGGTGCGTCCGTCCGTCTGTCCACCCGCCCGCTCGCTCGCCCGCTCGCACGACTGTCCGTCCGTCCGTCCGTCCGTCCGTTCGTTCGTTCGTTCGTTCGTTCGTTCGTTCGTTCGTTCGTTCGTTCATTTGTCCGTCCGTCCGTCCGCTCGCCCGCCCACCCGTTTGTCCACGACCGCTCGTACGCACGACACGGTACGGCACGCACGCACGCACGCACGGCGTCGGAAACGCGCGCGCGCGCGCGCGGGCATATACACACATACATACACACACACACACACATACACACACACGCGCGCGCGCGCACACACTTATACAAACACATACGAACGCACGGAGGAGACCAAAGAGAGTTCCCCCGTCCAACGGCGCCAATTTAATGGATCCGACCATCGGTTGGTACCAACCGGAGCAGTACGGCCCTGCCAAGGACCTTTGGTTACACATTTGGGAGGCCGAGAAGGGTCTTGACGTTCTGACCCTGCGTAACGACGCGATTTCGAGTAATGCGATGGGCGTACGGCTGCAGCAGGACTTTCTCGCGCTGGACACGAGCCCGGCAGCAGCGACGACGACGGCGACGGCGACGACCGCGGCCGGCACCACGCCGTTATCCAATAGCACCGGCACCGGCAACCCTATCGGTGCCGGTGTCGGTTTCGGCGCTGGTAACAACGGCAATGGCAATGGCAATGCCAATGCCGGCAATAGTAGCAACGGTAGTAACGGCCGACCTACATCCGCCGCCGTTCATAGCAGTGCCACTGGCAATGGCAATGGCGAGCACCGTGTGCCCCACAATGCCTGCAACTATTATTACAACCCATCCCGCAGGAAAGGCGAAAATCGGGCAAGCACCTACGGCATGAACTATAATTACGATGCCCTTGTGGGCGAGTACGGCGGCTGTCCGTGGCGTGTAACCAACAAGCATTACTCTATGGGGACAATCGGGTGAGTATATCCGACTCCACATCATCTACTCGGGGACGGGAGGGATTGTCACACGGTCCATATGGTTGTCTGTTAGGTTATGTTGGCCACCGCTTGAAAGTGCTTTTAAATGCCTCCAGGTGAAATTGAAGAGTTGGCAAGATATCGAAGGAAAAGAGGAAGAGATATATATAGTCAGAAAAATATAATAGTCAGGGGTAATAGCAATCTTTTAGAATTTAAATTTGTCATTTCGGAAAAAGAAGAGAGCCTTCCTGTACATGATATTTTACACACACACACACACACTCTCTCTCTCTCTCTCTCTCTCTCTCTCTCTCTCTCTTTCTACAGTAGGTTTACAAATAAAGCCCGTAAACAGCTGCAAAAAAATTTTTGTCATCAAGTATTGTTGGCTGGTATAAGAAATTGTAAACATATCTCATGTATCTATCCTATGTATAAGAGATACATTATAAACTCAAGGACAAGGCATATCGAGTATTTTTCACAAAGATGTCTCAAATTCAGATGAAAATTCTATTTCTTAAGTTTTTTGTGATTGTATTTGTCAGGAATTATTTTATATTTGCATATATTTTATTTCTACACACCATTTTACAGATGTTGATGACTGGACATTGAATAAGTTTATGTTTCTGTTTAGATTACATGAGGAAATAGAAGATTTTTTTTCATACATGTGTCCCTCGCACGAAGAGCATGTATTAAGATTGAGAGTTGTAAAAAGGATAGAAAATGTAATTTATGATCTCTGGCCAGACTCTAAAGTCGAAGTATTTGGTAGCTTTCGCACTGGTTTATATTTGCCTACAAGGTAGGTATCTTTATGTATTGTAAATAAATCTGAGTCGATTGTTCCTTTTGGATCTTTGGATGAATTAAGTAATAATTTATCTAATGGATAAATAAGTGAGTTTTAGCGGAATTAGAGTTTAGATGGAATAATCTAATCTGAGAGGAATATTTATTTACCAAATTTACTCGCGTGTCAAGTACTCTCAAATATATGTATAGAGACTTTCCTATTGTTACAGTGATATAGATTTGGTAGTAATAGGGATGTGGACAAATCTTCCTTTGCGTACTTTGGAACGTGCTTTACTAGATCGAAATATCGCTGAGCCATCTTCTATTAAAGTGTTGGATAAGGCCAGTGTACCGATCGTCAAACTGACCGATAAGGAAAGTGAAATTAAGGTGGACATTAGTTTCAACATGAATAATGGCGTCAAGTCTGCAGAGTTGATAAATTCCTATAAGAGGCAATATCCGGTTCTGGAGAAGTTAGTCATGGTGTTAAAGCAATTTCTACTACAAAGAGATCTTAACGAAGTGTTCACTGGCGGTATATCTTCATACAGTTTAATACTCATGACCATCAGTTTTTTACAAGTGAGTACAATTGTTGCTAACATATCTACTGAAATTACATTTATTATTGTCACAATTGTCTCATGACACTCAATTGCTGTTGTCGAATCAAAATTTTGATTTATTACAGTTACATCCGAGAAAGGATATTCATTGTCCAAATACCAATCTGGGAGTGTTATTGATTGAATTTCTGGAGCTGTATGGGAGAAAGTTCAACTATGTTAAGACTGGCATTCGCATAAAGGATGGTGGTCAATATATATCGAAAGAAGAGGTCTAATTTATATTTGTGTTACATTATAGAGGCTCTATATCAGTCAGTATTTTTGATATTAATTATATATGTTGATTAATAGATTCAACGAGATATGATAGATGGTCATCGACCATCTCTATTATGCATAGAAGACCCACTCACACCTGGGAATGATATCGGCCGTAGTAGTTACGGTGCTTTGTATGTAAAGAGTGCATTTAATTGGGCCTATTGTATTCTCTCTCAAGCGGCCAATCCCTCAAATATCTTAATCAATGACGCCAGTAAAGTAAGGTGAGATCTTTATCACTTATCATTTTGTTTTTTCTATTCCATTTTATCCTGTACAACATGTAAATTATAATAAACGATACTTTCATTATACACAGCATACTGGGAAGAATAATCCGTGTGACCGATGAAGTAATATACTATCGTAGATGGATCAAAGAAACATTCCTCTTACCCGTAGGCGAAGGAGACTCTCTGTCAAGCTCAACTGGTTCTGATGCATCCACTCTTTCAGCTCCCGCTAGTGATACGGTACACATGATAAACGTATTAAAAAAATGTCTTTGTCGTCATTATTATTTTATACACAATTAATTTCTTTTGTATATACAATATTTTACTTGTTTTTCACATCCTTTAATATATTGAAAAGAGTTCGAAGCCCTCCTCCCATGATATACTGCTGTATAATTTTATATAGGATCGTTATTAATTCTGAATTTATTTATATGTTTTTCTAAGGACTCTGAGTGTAGTCGTGGCAATTCTCCGAACACTGGTGGGAAGAGCGAAAACGACAAAAATAAAGATAGGCACTTTTATAATAGTCATCAAATTCACAATTATTCTGGAAGAAAAGCATTCAAAGCAACCATTCATGGTACGACAATTAATTGATTTTGTTTGCTACTTGTGCATATTAAGTTGTTGCAACAGATTTCGATTACACGAATACATACATACGTTCGATGATATCTTTCGTATTTGACGCGTGCTATTTTTTTGTTGCAGCCAATCACCAGCAAAGTTTCAAAGGCAACTATCATCGCATCAACAACAATATAGTCGGTCAAAACAAAGCCAAGCACGCACTCCACAGTAATGGAAACAACAATAATAATAATAACAATACTAGTCACAGTCCAAGTTCTAGACCACATTCGATAAAGAGGAAAAAACAATGCACGATGCAACGTGGAACCGGAGATTGTGTACGGTGATGAAATGTACACAATAATTTCAGATATTACTTCCGTCATTTAAGTAGCGAGCTCAATATCATAACTGTGTGATAGAAAGACAGCGATTAATGGTCGGTTATCGCAATAACTGAATCATCCTACGCGAGTACTCTTCGCTTTCAGTTTCAGTTCAATGTACAGAAGGGCACAATGTTTACGGTTCTGAAAGAACCAACAGTTTGGAAATTTAACGATTCTTGCGCAGAACAAGAATGCCCAAGCAGTAGCTATACATATATACATATATATATATATATACATTTCTTTTTTCCTCCCCATTTGTCAGAACTATATATTTTGCTCTGTACGCAAAAGGTTATACATTAAAGACGTACAGAATTCTTAATGGAAATTTGAGATAAGATCTATTTATATTTCACTTTCATTGCACAGATTACAAACGGTACCCGGTGTAATAACACTTTATTATCGTTATAAAAAAAATTGCAAAATTTTATCATTACCATCGTCGAATAGTAATTGTGTTCACAGCCATGATAAATAACATATTGTAATATATTCAAAGTACGAATAGTATACAGACGATAATAAGTTATATACGTTTTTCTCAACACATAAAACTATGAAACACGCCGATATTGACAACTAAAAACTTAGTTTTCTATATGAAACTATATTCTTATAAAAAGAGAGTGACAGCAAATTGGTGATATTGGCACTTATCTAATGTACATATTGTAATATACATCTCATCAAACATAGAGAAGTAAGTCTAAGAGTTACCTACTAAATTTTTTTAACTTATAAATATCTAAAATAGCGTTTATTATAGTGATTTTATCATAAAAATTCGTGGATGAAGCCATATCTATTTAAAAGTATACTATTCTTTTTTGTTTTTTTTTCTCTACAAAGCATAAATATATCGTTGTTGAAAGATTTTGGTATGTTTTTCAGATTTTAATAAAATTTCAGATTTACGCGCGAATAATACGATGGTAGAAAAAAATTTTGAATAACAATATTTTTTAAAAAGTAGCTTATTATCGAGACAAAGTGATGACAACGCTTCGAATCTTTACAGTCTATTTCGTAGCAACAATTTTTTTGCAAATTAGCTTTATCTATTTTCTTTTGTACAGAGACGCCAGTTTCTTAATGTTAGCTCATAATCCTTAGTATCCTCTGAACAATGATGTATTATTTTTATATCAGATAATTAAAATAAAAAATATGTTTGTATTATACAAAGGGAAAAAACGAAGAATCTGATATTTATGAATCTTACATTGCATTTGATGAAACTTGTGTATATGACAATACGCGAAAAGGCCTTGACATTACTTAAAAAGCTCCATATGTTACGTTCTTCGATCGTAGACATAGTTCATTATCAAACATTACATTCCGTTGACGCAATAATTAATAAGACAGAAGTGTTTACCGCAAACAAATCTTTTCAATGACATAGATCAAAATTCTTTCTGGTGCTACTGCATTTTTGTGTTCAACGATTTTTAATGTGCGATGTAAAGATTTATCCTTGTAACATGTTTAATTTAGTCACGTAAATTGAGGATGTTTAGAGCTTTGATATCTTTTTAAATTATATATAACACCCAATATTTCGTGTATATTAATTATTATTTAACTTAAAAAAAAAAGCTCTTTCATATGTAATATTATAAGCTGTGATTGAATTTAATAATTAAATTGTCAATTGCTTAAAGATATATATAAATATATATAAATATATAATTTAAATGTTATTGTAAAGCATTACTACTATAAAGCCATATTACATTTTTAAAAACTGTAAACTATTATATCTTAGTGATCCTCAACAAATTACGTGTTTTTTTATAAATATCAGAATTTCGTAATCATTGAAGGTTTGATAACGAAACTTCGTGATCACTCATATTTATCGAATTTCCCGGACCGTCTGTAAAAAACGCAAAAAAAAAAGATGAAAAGTTTAATAAATATGAATGATGCCGATATCTGATCTTAAATTATTTCTCGTTTGTATATTTTTAATTAAGGGAAGCGATTTTACCTCGTATATAGCCATCATTTAAGATCAGCTATAGACCGTTTATAAACTTCTCTCGATAGCAATATAATACTCTGTATTTTCCAAAAATTTTGATAGTCATGTATATTTATATTTGTGTGAGTATATTTTTAAATAAGCAATAATGTGTAACGAATATAACACGATCAGTGATGCCATTTTATCTTCGCAGAACTGTACTGTCGTTTCACAGCCGTTACATTCAGATTGTAAAAAAAATATTTAACTGGCGTATATACATTACTGAAAGTTCGTAACTGTGTAACTGCGAATTTTCAAAAGTACAGGCAACAGTACAATTACCCGTGCTTTGGTAATGTCTTTTTTTTTTTTTTAATAAAAAGAAAAGCTTTCGCGAGGAGAAAGGAAAGTGAGATAGCAACTATGCGAATACTAAATCATGGATTTAGCAGTCGTCGAGCCGGCAGCGATTCGTACTTAACAATTGTCTACTCGTAAGTTTGTACACATATGTTTGATCCGAGATATGTGAAAAATGTACAGAAATGAAATAAATCTTACTTACCTTTTTCTTCAATCAAGTTTTACATTTGAGCGATTTTTGCATTTAATTCTTAATAATTTAATATGCACTAATTTATATATCTACTATATATT